ACAGAGACGGGGCAGCTTGGGGTTGGGCCACAGGAGGGGACGTGGCGAGGGCTCCCGATAGCGAGGGGGTCCCCGGGGAGCTGGCAGCCGCCAGGCGGGGTATTCAGAGCGAACAGAGCCGCACTCTGGGCTGGAAGGGGCCCCGCCCATCTCTGCGGGTGGGGAGGGGGTGGGCAGGAAGCAGGCGCCTGCGTGTAAGCTGAGGGAGGCGGTGGCTGTGGGTGAGCTGAGGGGTGAGTTTCCTCGGTGCCTCGCCCGTGCGCTCAGGCTCCCCGGGAGGGTGGACGTGGGGCGGGGCTGGGCGGGGGCAGTTAGGCATGTACAGGGCAGGTAGTACCAGCCTGAGCCGTCCCACCAACATAGGCGCACACAACTGAAGTGAGCCTTTGCCCGAGACCTTAGGCCTTGGGGTCTCTTCAATTGGGAAAATAAGAAGGGAGCAGCAGTCTCCCCCCCCCAAACCCCCGAACCCCACCCAATGCTGGTTCTGCTGCCCTGCCCATGGAAGTTAGTACCTGTGTGCTCCAGAGGCCAGCCCTGCTTGTGCCACCCCTGAGCTGGCGTGGCCCCGGATAGAACCCAGCTGTGGGCTCTGGCTGAAGACACAGCACTCCTGGAGCCCCAGAACTCCGGAGCAGAAACCTGAGTGAGCCGAGTTCCACCCTGCCCAGTCCCTCACTGCTGCCCCCACAGGGCCCCATGAGGCCGCAAGAGGAATCGGCCAGGCTAGCCTACCTCTCCTCCCCCAGTCAGTGGTCAGGTTCCCAGCCTGCTCAGGAGCTAGTGTCCCTCACTATGCCCACTTCTGTCCAGCCTACCAAGCTGGGCCGCAGCCCCAGGCAGCCCAGGCCCTGGAGCTCCCTTAGGGGCTGACATGAAGGAGGGAGAGTCCTCTCTCCATTTCACATATGCAAGGACCCTCTCAGGGAGGAGGAGGACCCTGGGTTTCTCTCCCACTGGCCCGCAGGGGACTGGCCCAACCCACTTTAGAGGGGCTGATGGAAGGACACCCCAAGCTGCTCACATTAGTGCCAACCGATGCAGAGAGAAGGGGCAGGGGTTGTCCCTAACATCATCCCTAACATAGGAAAGAAAGAGCATGAACCTTCAGCTCAGGTACATCTGGGTTCAAATCCTTGGCAAATGACCTCATTTTTCACATCTACAAAATGAGGTGACTAGAGTTATTATTGGAGAATTAGGTGAGGAACTGCAGGGAAAGTGCTCACATGAACCCTGACACACAGTAGGGCTCCACAGGTGTTAGACATCATCATCATCACTATTATTATATACTTTGGAGGCACGTCTGGGACCACACCATATGCACAGCAACACGTTTTCCGTGAAGCTGGCGAAGATGAAGCTTCAGGGTCCCCCATTTGCAAGGCTCTGCTCCTGATCTTTCATTTGTGACCTTGTATTGACTTTCTTGAGGAGTGCCTTCCTCCTCAGCATGTATAAGCCTGATTGTATCTCCTAAGTCCCCCACAGCACTTAGCACAGTATGAGAGTGGTTGAATGACAGGGTAATGAGCAGATAGGAACGGAGAGTCAACAGTGAGATGGAGGCAGGCTGGTGGCCTGCGGGGAGGTGGGCCCGGGAGAACACTTACCTTGGAGAAGGGGGCAGATCTTCCTCCAGGCTGTGACGCTCCCTTGGCTGGTGTACTGGCCCAATGCCACCTCCAAGAAGAACACCGGGATGCCACAAGTGAAGAAGAAGATGAAGTAGGGGATGAAGAAGGCCCCTGCAGAGGAAGGAGAGGTATGGGCTGAGCCTTTAGCCTAGGCCTTCATCTCCCTCCTCACCCCTCCCAAGGGCACAAGTCGGCTTCCTCCTATCTGTGCCCAAGCACAGGCAGAAAATTTTCCAGTCTGAACCTTACTCAGGACAGGAAAGCTCTTGGAAGGGAAATTTCGGTGGAAATCCTAATGTATGCGCTATTTATTTGCTCAGTGTGTTTCACAAATCTAGTCAATTTATTATTTTTGGAACAAAAACATGTGTTCTGTATAATTTGATATGCTTATTAAATTATCACGTTTGTTACATTTTAGAGAAAAACAAATAAACAAAAACACCTCGGAAAAATTATTTTCCCTCTAATAATTTCAGAGGGATTTTTCCCTCCATCAGGCTCTGATCTGAACTGGGCTCTCAGCAGAGAAGGCCATTCCTCTGCTCAGCCCCACTCTCAGGAACGGGGGTGTCAGCCAGCCAGGTGGTCAGGCACTGACTACAGGCCCTGACAGGAGGCGGGGCCTAACAGACATCCAGCAAATTACCTATGAGTGAATTTGAAGGCAACCCTAAGCCCACAGTACCCACTTCAGTCACAAAGACATACCCCACCTCAGAAGTATACCCATGGGCCGATGGATTATTGTTTATCGCACAATAATAACACTTAGCACTTATTTGGTGCTTACTGTATGTTAGGCACTCTTCTAAATGCTTCACCAACATCAAAATCCTCGCACAACAACCTGCCATTATATCCATTCTACAGATGAAAAACTGAGGCCACTTTAAAGATTCAAAAACTGAGACACAGATGAGAAAAGTGAAGCACAAACCCAAGTGGTCTTAGTCTGCGCTCTTAACTACTACATTATAGTCCTAGTCAGTTGGCTCAGTGGATAGAGCATTGGCCTGTGGACTGAAGGGTTCCAGGTTTGATTCTGGTCAAGGGCATATGCCCAGGTTGCAGGCTCGATCCCCAGTAGGGGGCTTGCAGGAGACAGCCAATCAATGATTCTCTCTTATCATTGACTAGAGGCCCCGTGCACAGATTCATGCACCGGTGGGGTCGGTTAGCCTGGCCTGTGCCCTCTTGCAATCCAGGACCCCCTAGGGGGATGTCAGTCTGCCGGTTTCGGCCCGATCCCCACAAGGCTCAATCCCGCTCAATTGGGCCCCGCTACGCCTGCTGTGGGAGCACACTGACCACCAGGGGCAGCTCCTGCATTGAGTGTCTGCCCCCTGGTGGTCAGTGTGCATCATAGCAACTGGTCGTTCTGCTGTTCGGTTGATTTGCATATTAGGGTTTATTATATAGGAAACTAGTGGCCCGGTGCATGGATTCATGCACATTGAAAGGAAATTAATTAGAAGGTGGCCAGCGAAGTGGGACTGGGTGAGACAAGCCACACATGCCCTGGAGCCAACCTCCCTCAGTCCCTCTCTGGCTGGCTGCACCTGGGGCAGCGCTGCAGCTCGAAGGGCATCTGTAGAGTGAGCGGGGTCCCTTTGGCAGGTGGGGTCCCTCGACCTGGCCTGTGGGGATCAGGCCAAAACCAGCAGTCTGACATCCCCTGAGGGGTCCCGGAGTGCGAGAGGACAGTCTGCAAAGTTGCTGTCGCTCAGCAGCTCCTGCATTGAGCATCTGCCCCCTGGTGGTCAGTGCACGTCATACCTACCGGATGGTTGGCTGGTCAGCCAGTCACTTAGCCTTTTATATATATAGAAAGATGTTTCTATCTCCCTCTCCCTTCCTCTTTGAAATCAATATATTTATTTATTTATATTATTATAATATATTTTAACTACTACATTATAATGTCTCTCAACTAATCCATATTACTTTGTAGAAAAATAGAAAATACAAAGAAAAAGAAAGGAAAAAGCATTATATATCCTTCCAATTTCTTACAAACATACAGATATATATATATATATACTAGAGGCCCGGTGCACAAAAATTTGTGCACT